GGCTTAAAATAACCATACTGTCGCATTTGATAATTTTCCTCTTTTATTTTTGAACTTGGAAAAACAGGAAAAATGCCAGAGCAGTGCAATATATTTAAAAAAAGAAATCACGCACAGCATCACACAAATGTGCATCTCAGTATATGAAAAGAAAAAAAAAACCCTGAGTTTTTAAACTAAGCCTCGCTTCAATCTGTGCAATATGAACTCAGCAGCTGCAGCATAACATTATTTAAAAGAAAATATAATAATATAATAAATAATAAACCACAAAGAATGTGTAAATGTCTGGTAAACACTGAACTCCAGCTTTAACTTAAGCTATAGTGTGCGTGCAAATGTAAACACAGAGCTCCAGCTTAATAAGAAATAAAAATAACAAATGAGAAAAAGTATTTTTTACACAAGGTAACAGGTGCATAACAACAGTTAGTGCAATATAAAATCACAGCATCTCCTAAATGTTCTGAAGGACACTGTCACTAGTGTGCAAATGTCTGGTAATTGCGTATATCCAGTAATTACAGATTGTGCGCAAGAAACACCAGCTGATCAACTCTCTCTGGTTTCAGTGCTGATCTGCGGCAAGTGATAATGTTACCACTTGTGCTAAAAGCACGCTCTGATGGGGCATTTGTGGCTTGAATGCACAAGTATTTCTTTGCCAGGCTTGCCACTCGTGGAAAATTGGCCTCGTGCTGCCTCCACCATTCCAGGGGGTTGGTCTCCCCATCAGCCTCCACTGTTTGAAGGTACCTGTTAAGCTCCAGTTCAATGGACTGTCTGCGTGACTGAGGGACAGTTTGGTCTTGGCGTGATGCAATCTTGAAGAAGCTGCCCAAACTCCTCTTCTTCTTAGCAGGAATCTCTGGCACCTCTGTGGCAGCTTCAGTTGGTGGTATGGAGTCTCCCCCTGCAGACTTTTCCTGTTCAGACACAAGGCTCTCTATCTCTGCAGCAGCTTTGGTCTTTATGTAGTCCACCTTCTCTGGCTTTATGTAGGTGATTTTGAAGCGAGGGTCGAGAAGGGAAGCCATATCAAGCAGATCCTGGGTGGATGGGTCAGCATATTTTTCATCCAGGTACTCCAGAATGCTTGCTTTGATTTTCTTGGTGAGATCGACGTCATCATCCTGTGGCTTAAGAACTTGCTCACTGAAAAGATGGAGCACAGGTTTTAAATATGAGACACTCACATACTGCTCGCCGGACAAGGCATCTGTGAACGCAACGAGAGGGCTCAACGCTTTGCTAACAGATTCCAGTACATCAGTGTCCTGCCATGTCAGAACCAAATGCCTGGTCTTCCTGTCAGCTCGAAGGACTTGTGTCAGAGCTTTCTCCTGCTCTAGGATCCTTTCAATCATTTGTTGTCGAGAGCCCCATCTTGTTGGGGTCTCTGTTATGAGCTGGTGAGCAGGCAAGCCCAGCTCTGCCTGAGCAGTGGCCAGCTCACGCTTCCTTTTCCAGGAATTGCAGAAGGCACTCACAACTTTTTTGCATACCCCAATGGCACGTTCCACTTGTGGCTCTTTCACACTTCTTTCTGTTTACAATAAACACAGAGGAGAAATGTAAATTGTTGACAGATGCTGACAGTTATTACACTTAAGGACAAGCGACAAGCATTATCATTTTGCATTTGCAATTATGTATATATTATAATTAATAATCATAACTATTACGTAATTTTTTGACTGAGGATAACTATTTATTTTTGAGGCTTAGGTGTTACTTAATTTTAACAAACTCTGTCTTTCTGAAAAGGTGTTTATTTTTATTTCTTAATTACAAAAATGTGAAATCTTTCAAACAGCTATACAACTGTTCAACAAAGAAGTCCAGGTTACATAACATGGCTTAATAATACTGACCCCTGAAGACCAATTATTGTAAATGCCAAGGTATACAACTAATTGGGGTAAAACAACAAGCAGAGAGGTATTTGTCATTGAATAATATTTAATGAAAATCCCACATGATTACCAGTCACTCAGTACGTTTACATGCATACTCACCGATGGCCAAATGAAGATGGTGTCCAAAACACTGTAGCCTTGTCCAGTCGTTCAGCTGGAGTGCTTTGACGTTGTTGGTGGCATTATCTGTGGTTACGCAGACTTGATGGGCCTCCGGTAATCCCCACGACTCCAGTGCCTCCCTTAGGTTTTGGGCTATCATTTCCCCTGTGTGATCCTCTGGGAAGTAAGAGGTCTGAAGACACCTACTCTTCAGTTCCCAGTCTTTACTAAAATGGGTCGTTAGGCTCATGTAAGGCTGTGTGGTGCGGCTCGACCACATGTCTGTTGTTGTAGCAAAATAAAGAACACTATGAAGCTCCTTTTCAATTTTGCTATGGCAATCTCCATATACTCGTGGCAACTCCACCTCTGTAAAGTGCTTGCGGCTGGGCATTACATACCTCGGATCGAGGGCGTTGAGTAATTCTCTGAACCCCGGCTTTTCAACGGTATAAATCGGGACCATGTCTTTGCATATGTGCATCGTGATGGCCTCCGTTATCTCCCTCCATCGACGTGATTTTTTGTCATACGGGGTGCCTTTGGCGAAACACTCCGCCAAGCTCTTTTGGACGAGAGGAGCTGCTGCAACTTTTGTTTTTGATGCAGCGGGCGCACCACGCATCTTTTGGCTTTCATAATATTGCTAAGCGTGTTTTATCTTTAAGTGGTGGAAGAGGTTACTGGTGTTTCCACCTCCAGCAGCAACAGTCACGCGACACTCTTTGCAGAGTATCGCTTTTTGTTTGTCGGATTTTCTAAATCCGAAAAAGTTCCACACAACAGATGTAGCGCCCTTTTTCGGAACGAGTTCCTCCTCCTCGTCATGTTGCGGGGGCCGGGCTGCCTCCGTTTCCTCGTGACTCCCCTTACTCTCCGCCTCCGCCATCACTCCAGTAAAGATGTTTCTTCTTCGTTGTGCACGTGCAACCACGCCAAGCAGTCTGTTGCAGTGCTGGCTCCCCGTGTGTCGAGGCGGTGTAACTACAGTGACTCAGAGAGATGCCGCAGACATCTGCACTTTCTCCGGTATAAACGGTATTGCAAAATCTCTACCGGTAGACACTTTATACCGTCACACGGTATTATACCGTCATACCGCCCAACCCTATTGAAGATGGAGATGGAATGTGACAGTTTTAACTTGTCATCAAGCTCATTCCAAATCTGTAGTCCTCTGCACACAGCACTAAACTTGGTACATTTTAACCGTCGTTTTTTTCCCCCAGTGATTTGGTTTTTGTTTCTGGTGGAATAGGTGTGCATAGGATGGAAGATTGGAATGAGGTCACATAGTTTATGGTTTAGTTTGTGGACAATTTGGTACATTACACAAGCATTCTGGAGGTAATTGTACTCAGCAAGCCTCAGAAGATTGTGGCGGTGGAAAAGTATTCTCGTGGGAGCATTAAACTCAGACCATGATAAAGCACGTATGACTTTTTTTGGGGGTATGTAGCTTTTGTAAGTAAGTTGAAAATGTGTTACACCATATGATGTTGCAATATTGTAAATGAGGCTCAAACCTGGTTTTATATATATATAGGGTGAGAAGTGCAGAAAGTGGTAGAAAATGTCTCAACTGAAGAAACAAAGCAGCATATTTAGACAATGTTTTTGTGAGATCTTCAATGTGACATTTAAAATTAAGAGATTCATCGATGAGGATCCCCAGGAATTTTGTAGAGCTGACTCTTACAATATTCTGTCCATTTATTTTTGGACAGATTTGCTTAACCTTAGTTTTTTTCATTGGAACGGATCACAATGTAGTTTGTTTTACTGATGTTATGGGAAAGTTTGTTGCACCTAAACCAGGTGTCTGTTTTCATTAACTCACTATTTATGATTTGTTCAAGCATATTTGGGTTTTTGTGGGGGAAAAAACAGGTTTGTATCATCGGCAAATAATACTTTATGTAGTACAGATGAGGAATTAACAAAGTCATTTATATTTATTTATTTATATTTATATATGTTTTTTTATATGTGCATGTAAGATGTTGGATGATGTCTTTTGGTAGCCTTCACGTTTTATTTTGTATGAGTGAGGGGAGTGGATGGAGGATTGACTGTTGCATATGTTTTTGCACCATACAGAGTTGCTTCTCCAATTTCGTTGTATCAAGCATACAATGACAATAAAGGTTTCTATT